TTAATAAATGGTTAAAAAACTTTTCACTCATTCTTAAATTAGCTTTAAACTTTAAAGACTTAAAAATGTCTAGTTACTACTTATTCCCTGGTTAACCATTGTAAAATTGTCCCCTGAATCCTAAAATCATAAAAATTATTATAGTAGAGCAGTTTTTTATATACAAGGTGTCCCTAAACTTAGTGGCATAAATTTAGGAGCAGATTAAGCAAGTCAAAATAAGACGAAAATCTAAATAAATATTTTTCCTAATTAGGTATGTTTAAAAGATACAGGGTGATAAAGTGTTACTTATCATATGAGTTTTTTTAATATAACTTCTACTAAGGTAGACTTGGAAAGGAGATATTTTGCAAACAGTCACTTACTACCAAAACACATATTCACACATAATTACAATGGTTTGAGTGAACGCAGTGTCGTAGAAACAGGTGTTGCTTAAGCTTATTGTCCCATACAAACTTTGAGGTTAGGTTTTTATACCATTTGATGCAATTTTTCGATTACTCAGTTTGGCTACTATTAAAAAGGTGTACCTCTTAAACTTAGATAGAATAAACCGTTTCCGAGATTACAATAATTGTTATATCGCATGGACTAAAAGGTATATCTTTATATATATATATATATATATATATATATATATATATATATATGTATGATAACAAATTTTGTAATTGAAAAAACTACAATTTTGTTTAATGTGACGGTTTTTAGTTTTTTCAATTAAAAAATAAAATTTGTTATCACATACCTTTTAATCCCTTTAAATAATGCGATCGCATATCGATATAACAATTATTGTAATCTCGAATATCTCGGAAACGGTTTATTTTATCGAAGTTTGAGAGGTACACCTTTTTAATGGTAGCCGCAGTGATGTAACGTATCGAGATACATGTATCTGGATACTGGATCTAGATACATTTTATGTACCTAGATACGTATCGAGATACTTAAAAAAATCAGGAACTACTTTAATATTTAGATCCTTTTGAAAGTATCTAGATCCTTAGATACAAGATACATTTTATTTTACCCAACCCGATTGCAACCCCACACGGAACATCAAATGCATATACTCTATACATATCCAGGATATACATAGGATATCCTGGATATCCATTGGACATCCAGTAGATGAACTTGCTTTATAAATATCTATTGCGTTATAAGGTCCAAACAATTTTTTTCTTTGTCATTTAATTTTTAAGTTTTTAGGTAACAGAAAGTATCTGAAAGTAACTTAGATACTTTTTGAATGTATCTGTATCTGTACCCAGATACTTTTGGGAAAATGTATCGGTATCTGTACCCAGATACATCTGCCAAAGAGTATTTGTATCTGCACCTAGATACTGAAAAAAATGTATCGGTTACATCACTGGGTAGCCGAACTGTGTTACCGAAAAATTGCATCAAATGTTATAAAAACCTAACCTCAAAGTTTGTATGGGATAATAAGCTTAAAGCAACCCCCGTTTCTACGACACTGTACAATTGTAATTATGTGTGAATATTTGTTTTGGTAGTATGTGACTGTTCGCAAAATATCACCTTTCCAAGACTACCATAGTGGAAGTTATATTAAAAAAAACTAATATGATAAGTAACACTTTATCACCCTGTATCTTAAAAACATTAGTAATTAGAAAAATATTTATTTAGGTTTTCGTCTTATTTTGACTTGCTCAATCTTTTCCTAAATTTATGCCAATAAGTTTAGGGACACCTTATTATATGAAAAATTGACTTTATCTCAAAACTGTTTTACTTTTATATTTTTTGACGACATTTTCGGATTCAGGGGACAATTTGTTATTGACGAGAATTTTTAGTGGTTGCTTTTTCGCTATGACAATTAGTCATTTTTGACTAATTCATTTTTAAAGAGTAACATTTACTACTTAAATCTGTAAAACTTTATCTTAATAATTACAATACAGTCATTAAAAGTATTTATTTAATACATTATTAACATATAAATATATTTTGACGAGCACTCAACAAGGTTTCTTTGCAAAACTTAAAAAGCTTTCACAAATGCACGTTGTTTCTTATGTGGAAAATGCTTATTTTGCCTGAAAATTCCTTTGTAAAAATTCAAAAAAACTAATTACAAGAGTTTTAACAACAAGTAGATGTGGCTTTGTACGCAGAAAAATGTTTGTACAAGCTATATTATGCAAAAAGGTAAGTTGTTCGAGAGTTTGCTTTGATCAAGTACTAATTTTAAGGCAACTACCTACTTGTTGAATTTGGTGAATTAATAAATGCGATTGTTATATTTCTGCAGCTTTAATAAATCTATTGCATGTCAACTCGCATGCTGGCATGCCCTAATGTTATTCATTTATTTGTAAAGTTACCATAAAATATTTTATACAGTATTATTTTAATGTTATTCATTCATTTGTAAAGCTACCATAAAATATTTTATAGAGTTTTATTTAATTTTACATTGATAGGTAATAGACCAATTGATTTTATTATGCAATTTAATGAGGTTTTACAGTTTTGTTAACGAGTTTTATTTTGTTTTTATGATCAACACGATTTTGAGTTATAAAATTTATCGCCCAATATTTGTTGTTCATTTTTAGAAGGTTTGAACAGAAATGTGATGAACATAACAAAAATATAAGTCTTAGCGTTGTAATGTTTAGATAAGTCAATAGAAAAATTGCTTGCGAATTTTCGGACCGAATGCAATAGTTTTATTTTCCTGGAAAATTCGCTTTTAAACGACCTTTACTTCAAATAGCGAGAATTCAAAACAAATCTGTTGATTGCATCATTTACTGAAGGAGTTAAACTAACATTTTCCAAAACGTTTAAAACTTTTTGAAACTTTATTTAAAGTTTTGGCAATTATTACTTATGAGTCCTTACTTTGCAGGTGTAACATATATGTAACATATACGATCTTTGGGATAGCCTTTAGTTCTTTCAGCGATGCGCTTTTAATGTCATCTATGCTTGCAAAACGACGGCCCTTTAAGGTTCTCTTTATTTTTGGGAATAGGAAAAAGTAAGACAGAGGCATGTCTGGCGAATATGGAGGCTGGGGCATAATTACAGTATTGTTTTTGGACAAAAATTTTGTTCAAAATTTAACAATTTTGGAACAAATTTTTCTGCCACGCGTTTCATACCCAAAACATTCGAAAAAATTTTATGAGATGAACCAATCAATATACCAACATTATCAGCGACTTCTCTGATGGTTTATAACCATTTCTTCCACTGTTGCGTTCGGGGCGTTCGTCATCTTCAACGTCTTCATGGCCATCTTGGAAACTCTTATACCACTTTTAAGGTATATATATTTTTTAAGCAAAATTGGATACAAATTTCTTTGATTTCTTTTAACGAACGAAAATCGCCGAGCTCATAAAACACGTCTAACCTTAGCGGCTGCCACAGACAAAGTAAACGATGAAAACAGCTAAAGTTTTTATCATAAAATTTTCTTTATTATATTGGTATACATGCCCCTGAAGTATACTTCAGGGGCATGTATACCAATATAATAAAGAAAATTTTATGACAACCAGACCCTCCGAACCCGCGAAATTTAACAATTCCCGTTATTTTCTGAACACACCTCGTAGACTTATCTCCCCTATTATGGTTTGGGATAATTTTGAATTTAATCTATTCTTATGGCAATTTTTCCTGCACACCAGGTTGCACAGTCCTTTCCTCCAGCTTCTCTTCATAGATTTTTTGTTGCTATTACGTTTGGTCCTACAGATTTATTATTTGTCATTCAATTTTCATCCCCAAGAGTTTTAATATACATAAGGAAAACACTGCTGTCTCTTCAGCATGCCAGGAAAGACCAATTTTCTGTCATATTAGGAGTCTAATTACATCATTATCATCATGCCTGCGTCTTATTAAAAATAGTTAGTTTTTTCTTTTTCCTAATGGGCAAAGTTACGCACAGTGTGCTGGTCAAACTCGATAATGAAGTAAGTGACATTTCCAGTTTCAGTTTTGATAATTTAATTTTCTATAATTAACTTAAAAATATGTTTCCAGTGTGCCCTGTTTTATGGTGGATCTATGCTTAATACCGTATACCTGCTAGTCACGGTTTGGCTATATACATCTTGTAGTCCATTTTTGGGGTAGGTAATTCCATCTATGGTGCAGAATTTTGCTAAACGCATAGATCGGTGGACTAGTGGTTAGTGCTGCTGACTACTAGCCGGAGGTCGTCGGTTCGAATCCCACCATACCCCTGGCTGTTTATTTGTGTTTGTCCTATTGTGCAATAGTCCTTCGGAGCAGACTTTAAGCCCGCGGTCCGTTCCTACCCCTAACACGCACAAGCCATTCAGTTGGCTTCTGGGACTTCTTAGGAAGTAAGGGTGGAACTAAAAGAGCACTTTTGTATATAAACTTTTTGTATAAGCCACGACTTTTGGAGCGGATTACCTTTCGTTTCACCGCTGTCGCTGTATTCTGCCGCTTTATAAGAGGTGAAACAGTATTTTTCGAGTGTGCATCCACAGCACCTGGCTGCCTGGCACTGAGTAGGCCCAAAAGACCAAACCAGACTGCATGTCGGTGCATGTTTGTGAAGGCACACTTGTGTTTTCAAATATATTTGTAATTAAAAACGTGAACATCTTAGTGAAAAATATAAAATTACGTCTTATAACTAAAAAATTTTATTGATCATTTTTAAAATCCTTTTTTAATTTAATTTTCGGGGGGCAATTTTCATATATTACTCAAACATGCTTTTTATGAATTTTCTGATTTGGTAAGAAATTATGATATTTTGGAAATGCTAGATTTTGACATAAATTAAATAATAAAGCAAAAATTAAATATAAGGTTGTAATAGTATTTTACCTTTAATTTTGCCATTATTTAATTTTTGTTTTATTTAAACTGCACTATGGTAGAAAAAACGCTTGGTTTACACGCTACTACCTAGGGTTTAATTTTTTTTAACGCCTACTAATAAAATTTTATTTGTTCAGACTATGGCCGCAACAAAAAGAAATGCCGGACTGACGTCAGCGGTTCCCAGGGCAACGTTAAACGACGAAGAACTGGTATGTATTAAATTTTTGAGTGTTCTAATTCAAACTTAAGAGATTAATAAAGTCCTGAGACGTTTTCAAGAGTATAATATATTTATTTAAAGAAAAAATGTTATTAAAAAAACCCGAACACATGAGCCAAAGGCCATTCTACACTAAAAAACATTAATACACAGAAAAATCGCTTTGATATATCACTATATATAGTCAATAATAATGCTATAATTTATTGTTTTTTCATTTCTCCAATAAAAGTTTATTCAATCAAATATTTTTGGAGCAATTGTGGGTGAGGGATTGATTTAATTACAAATATTATATTTAGCCCATAACAAAATATAATCAAGTTAAAATTACTTGTTATAGTGTGAATGGCTCTTTATATTTAACGCTGTGGCTCCCGTCCCGAGGCGGGACCCAAGTTCAGTCCCGATTGACGTCATAATTTTAAGATTTGTTATGTTATAATAAAATAATAATAATAATAAATTGTACCTGTATACATGTTAAGGGCACTTTAGTTACGTCATAAAACCAAACCAACCCAAACTCAACAACACAACCCAACCGACCCCGCCCCATTGGCCCCCCCCCCGCCCCATTGAGCAAAAAACCCAACTAAAATGGGCAAATTTATGTTACGATAAAAATAAAACACTTTTTAACAAAGAAACAACAAATTTATAAAACAAAAAAAATAAAAAAAGTTTGACAACTTATAGTGGGATCGAACCCGGTACCTCTCGCATGCCAAGCGACCGCCCTACCATCTAAGCCATCGAGCTTGACACAAATTATAAAATCTCGCGGAATAAAAACGGATTTACAGTGTGTGACGTCAATCGGGACTGAACTTAAGTCCCGCCTCGGGACGGGAGCCACATCGTATATTTAAACCTAATGGAAATGTGTACTTCCTTGAAAAAAAAAAGTTTATCTGATCAAGGTAAAATTAACAATATTTAATTAAATATAAAATTAATTTATATTAAAAGTTATAATACTTCAACCAAAACTTAAAAACAAATAAAATAAGAATAGTCTTTGTTTCTTTTAATGTTTATGATTTTTATTCCAATGGAAACTAAGGTAAAGTAAGTTATTACTGCCTTACAGTGAATACCAATGTTTTCACTGTCTTGAAAAATACTTGTTATTTGCCCAATTAATAATTATCATTCCCATTTTTTCAATGCGGCATATATTCAATTTAATATTGCAAAAATTCAGACAAACGCGCCAGGTCATCCCCTGCCACACCACAAATCGGCATATAGTTAAATGTGATCAACTGATTAATCGGTATTTCTGGTGAAGGTAGTGTTTGGTTGTTTGTTATATTTGCTAATTTCTTGGGGGTTGTACTTTCTAATCCCGAATTTTCAGGGTAAGTTGTACATGTTTTTGTATGTTTTTGTATGTCCGCCATGCATCCAGTAATTTAATTACTCAATTATATCTAAATGATAACAAAAAGGTAAATATACCATGGACACACTTTATCTTGATATTCGATGTCATGCCTTAGAATGGCTATTTTGCTTGAATGGACGAAGTTTTTATTTATTTATAAAAAAACTTCTCATATTCTTTCAGTACCATCATGATATCCTTGCAGGGCGTCCTGAAAGTATATATTGCTTTAGGACTTTCAGCAATCTATAGGATTTGCCTCTAAATACTAAGATAAAATTCCTATTATGTTTAGAATAACTATGTGCCATGGCAGACAGATCCTGCACATCCAGTACAGTAAATGTTGCTAGTGATGGGTCAGCAACTTTCTTAGAGCCTAATATCACCAACACTTTTAGTGGGTTCCTAATAGTTCTTACATAAAACAGAACAATTTCATTTTATGGATCGAAAAACCTGTGTACACAAGACTACCAGAAACAGTTTCCAGAATTTATTTTATTTAAAGTTCATATTAATGTATTATACAACTAATATTTGCACAAGAATATAGATATTTAAAGGAATTAGAGTTTTGATTGCATTTAATGTAGCCATTCATTAGAAACCATAACTTTATTTATGACAATGATAGTTTTTCATTAAGATTCATTGTGGCTTCAATTATATAGGTAACAATTTAATTCAATAATTTCTTATGTTTTAACTAACTAAGTTTTAATACGGATTTAATAGAATCACAATTTAATTCAATGACTTCTTATGTTTAAACTAATTTTAACCAAGTTTGAACAAATAAATGTAAGACAATCATTTATCTGATCATAGCTGTAATTCAGGTATTGTAAATACAGTACCTACACCATTGGCTTTTTCTATGTGTAGGTTTAAAATATGTTTTGTGTTCGTTGTAGATAAAGTATAGTATGTAACCTATTTATAAACTTCTCTAGACACTAGCTTTTATCAAACATCCGCTCTCAAGCACCGCTTGTAACTCGTAACTAAAATGGCGTTTATAAAACTTCATACATTAGGATTTTACAATTTAAAAAAATGTGCTTTCAAGAAATTTAAAAAAAATTAAAAACGACAGAAAATTTTGAAAAAGAGATCCACAAAAGTCATTAATAATAAATAATTATCCTAATTAGACTCCAGTTAGTATTATTTTAACTTTACAAACTTTCTTTGTTACACTCTTTTAAATGCAGTGTTAAAGTGTTATAACACACAAACACAAGGACCAAAGATACTTGACAAGGAAAAAGAAACATTACATGCGCAAGTAAATTAATAATCGTTAATAAATTATTTAATGATCAGTAAAACAGAAATAGTCGTAATCCGTAATTACTTAATACAAAACGCATTGTTTTCTTTTTATTTTTATCAAAGATCCCGAGGCAAACAGAGACAATGAAAATAATATAAAGCTTAATTTCCTTTGAAGTTCAGTTTACTGAGGAGCAAAAAACTTTCATCCGCAACGACTATCTTTGTAACGGAATAAATAATCGTCTAGAAAATGCAATTTTTGTAGCGCTGCATTTTGAAAAAATAATTACTTTTGCTCGGGAATATTTTTGTTTATCTCATTTTATAATGAGTTTCTCTTGACAATAAGTAAGGAAGCACCATTAAACTATAAAGTCTTTAAGCCAAACGTTCGAAAAGAATAATAGGTATTTTTTTTCAAGAATCAAAGGCCTGATATCTTTAAATAAATAATAAGTCTTATACAATTTGTTTGTTTGTATGGCGGCCATTTTAACTTTTAATGAAGCCACATTGAAAAAAATAAGCTGTTGAAACAACAAAAATATTAATTCAACTCTTTATGCACTTTAAATACAAGCAATGGTTTTTGCACGTTTACTTAACCATCTAAAAATGTCAAATTGTATTGTTTAATTGAACAACAAATATTAGTCAAATGAACAAAATGAGAATATTTGTTCTAATCTGGTTAATTAAACATTCTTGATATGTCGGAGTAATATTTCGAAAATGGTTGTGCTAACATTTTTAGGATGTTTTAACATTTCAAGAAATTTACCTTAAAAGGTAAATTTCTTGAAATGTCCAGGTAACCTTTTTAGCATATTCACTTAACACCCATAAAATTTTTAAAAAATTTGCGCTAATGTTGGGTTAATTAAATTATGGAATTAATATAAAGAGAAAGAATTGAACCTTCCCCCGCCAGAGTTTTAGTTTTGAATGCGTTCCACCTACTTCAAATACCTACCGACAGACAGCTGATTCGACCTATATTGGGGGTCTTATCAGTCACTGATTATCAGTGTTGGGCAATTTGGTGTAGTGGAAGTTCTACTGTGGAACACACCGAAAACAAACGGCTACCTGAGCTTATATACTCCTATCGTAAGCCAACTGAGGCGAGATGTAAGAACATCACGTGATCAACACCGTCTAATGACGTGGCGTGGGTGTTCGAAGCGCCCTTCACGGCAATTTTATCAATGCAAAATTAACAAATTTTAAAGTAACATTTACAATTTGTTAAATGAACAAATTTAATGTTTTGGATTTAAAGAGCAACTAAACGTTAATTTAATAGTTTTTTAGGTAATCCTAAAAATGTCAGTATTTGATTCAACCAATTCCAGCTATTAAATCAAAATAGGATAAATACTTTAATTCAAAAAAATAGTTTATGTTAAATCAATATTTTAACTGTCAAATGAACAAATAAACTTTGACAAACTCTGACTATTGCTCTGACACCAAAATATAGATTAATCCAATAGGTTTTTTGATGAAACAACATTTTCATAAATGACATTTAGGCAAACGTTAACTCAACTACATTATTTTTTTCGGTGCACTTACCAGAAAGTACGATTTTTCTGTACGAAGTTCTCTTCAAGTAGATCAAGCAGAACTCGAATTTTGATAATAAGTATGAACAATTGTAAACATTGTGGTATACCATATGAGTACCTTAGATGCAAAACTCGGTTTTTGCAAATTAAAAAATAAAATAAAATTGGCTTTAAATTCTGTTTAGTGTTCGTCCTAGATAAATGGCGTTCATAAAACTTGATACATAATAATATTATATTATATATATTATTATGTATCAAGTTTTATAAACGCCATTTATCTAGGACGAACACCAAACAGAATTTAAAGCCAATTTTTTTTTTTTTTAAATTTGCAAAAACCGAGTTTTGCATCTAAGGTACTCATATATGGTAAAATCCATATTAAATGACAGAAAACGTCAAAGAATTGTTTTTAAACATTAATTTTCTAAACTTTGAAGCAACTCCTACGGGGAATATTAAAAAGTCCTTAGAATTTCCAAAATATGGCGCGATAGACAAAAACCATTCATCAAGCGATTTCTGTCAAAATTTCAGATGTGTGTTTGAGATTGCTTAGATCGTACCTGTTAACATATCATTATTTCGCAAATAAAATCATGTTTCACCTAGAAAATTATCCTGGCAGCTATAACTATGGAGAAAAATTGCTGCCGCATCCTCTGTATTCTTTAGATTTTGCCCCCTATGAATTTTCTTTTTCCAGAACTGAAAAAATCGTTGTACATGCATTTTTTGACGAAA